ATTGTTTTTGTTGGTTTCACGTCATTCAATTGCCATTATGTAAACTCAAATTGAGACAGGCTTTCATGGTATATATTCGTAGTTTAATTGTATGTATATGAGTAGAAACTGAATTATATTCACATATTCACTCCATATGTTTTTTATTTTTCCGTTTCAGTGGACACTCCAAAGAGATTTATGATCCACCAACTTCGCAATACCCAATTTCATCAGGTAACATAACTATATCTCTAAATAAACAAAGTTCATAATTCATGATGTTTCACAATTGGTTTATAGAAACAACCTCATTGTACAGAATATTATGCCACCTGATAATTCTGGGATAGTTACTGTGTTTTAATGGATTGCCTTTAACCAGTATTTATTTTATTTTCAATAGAAAACCTTATGTTATAAACCTCCAGTGTGTGTGCACCTCCTAAATTTAGCATTAAATGAACATAACAGTTGAAACTAGGAAGTAGATGTTCCATTACTCATATATTGGCATGTTTTGAAAGGTAAACAATGACATAAATTGGTGGCAGGTGCTCATCTGAACACACTGATGTAGTGAAGCTTATTTCATACATTGAGTAAGTAAAATTGATGCTGGTCCAGCTGCTGCTGTTTATGGTCTTCTCCAGTCATGTGTCTGGCTTGACTGTTCTTTCTTTGGGGTGTCATCTTCAATCCCAGGGAAAATTGCCTCCAGCTCCAGAAAGATCAGTGCTGCCAAGGCTGGGGAATGCTACATGTGGCAGGAAAAGTGTGACAAAAGCAGAAACAGATCCCGAGAGCACGGCCACGATAGAGAATCTAAAAGAGTCCGAGAGAGAGAAAGTGAGAGCTGGTCCTCTGCACACAAGAAGAAGGGGAGGAAGAAGGATCCTTTATTGTCCAAGTATGTTTTACACACAGGAAATTGGACCTCCACATTGAACACATCTGTAACTATTGAGCACAAACACATTGAGAAAGCAGTGAGCACACACACCTGGAGAAGGGTGCCTGGGATGTTATGGGAGGAGAAAGCACTGTTCTTTCACTCCCCCCCCCTCTCTCTCTTGCCAGTTCTTCCTGCCAATCCAAATCCAGAGATTCAAACCAGCAAGCCGTTGACCCAGTGCACTCTACTCTAGACTCAATCTCACAGCTTCCCTCCAGGTGGGTCTCTAGGACTTAAGGTTATAAATACTCCGTATCAGTTCCTAGATCAGTTTATATATTAAATGCAAGTAATTCTCAATTCTGTTTCCCTTATTCTATATCATGTTTAGGGTTGGGTACCTAAATGTGTATATGAAGGTATACAGTCAGAGTTATGTCAGTACAGATGAGCATTGATTGATGTTAAATCAATTTGTGAGATCATCTGGGTGAGAGCAAGTAGAATATATGAAGAGCCTATGCAGCTTGCCTGTACACGTATACTTGTGTGCTAGTTTATCTGCGTAGCATGCAACGCTACATCTCTTGAAAGGTGTGCACCAGGCTACGGTGTCGGTTATGGGAGCCAGTGGTGAGACTTTTCAAAATGCCAAGTCACACGAGGCAACCGCAGCTAACGTTAGCAGCACGCCTGCAGCCAATGATGATGAAGTTGAACCCTCCCATGGACGATGTAACTAACATCGACTTAATGAAATTAATTCACCAGTTGGACAAGTCATGGTTGGAGAAGATGTTCACTGTCGCTTTTCTTTCAGTTTACTGGCGAACAACTTTACGGTGCATATCGCCACCCACTGTACCGGTTTTTTCAAAAGTATTTTACTGCAGGAGGTGAAATGACATCTTCTGGCACTACAGAGAAAGCAAAGGACTAAAAAAAAGTACTTTGGGTTCTGATACTGTATTTTAGGTACCGGAACTTGCACGGAATCGATTCAAATGTGAACGGTACCAAACCATAATCACGTAAAATAACACGTTGCTACCATTCACACTTCCCGCTTCAGTGGATCATGTAAATATCTGCTGAGCAGCTGTGGCCTTCTGGAGTAGGCAACATACTATGTGTTACTTCTAGTCCAGATATCCACTGTATTTTGACTCTTTCAATATGTGTGCACTCACAACCTGCCTCCCTCTCTCTCTCTCTTTCTCCCTCACATACACATGCCTGCAAATACTGTATATGATTAAGAACTTTAGAGGAAAGACAAAAAAAGAATTGGAGGTGAGTTATGAGACGGGTGTGTATGGTGTTGGCACCAGTGCCTGGTAATATTTCAACATGCATGTGATGGCAGTTTCTGTAGGATCTTCTGAAATACTGGCTGCCTCAAGTGGCAGAGAACCAAAAACCCTGAGGGCACATGTAGAGGGAAATAATTCAGTCGGGGATTGATCGTTTTTCAGTTACAGTGCACTAATCGTTTAATTCTAAGAAAAGATTAAAATGTATATTCTCTATCTAGGTGTTTTTTATTTGGTGCTGTAAAATCAAGTGCGCAACAAATAATATACATTTATTTCCATATCACATTGTACTCTGAGTCTGCTGGTGGTGTCTCTCCCATATCTCCAGCTGATAGGTTTAATATAAACTGCTATAACTGTTGTGAGAAAACATAATTTGGAAGAAATGCACACTATTGCAAAAGGAGCATTGGACCATTGTGACAGAAATAAAGACTATTGCAAGGCCAGGAGAAATTATTGCCAGCATATGCAGAACTATTTTAGTTTTTGTGGTGCAGTGAGGGGGGTGCAGGGTGCCGTGCACGAGGGAACAAATCACTGTATTTGCCAACTACTACGAGGAAATAATTGAGTGTATACGCATATATGAGTGTTTATGGAGTTTTGGCCTTTCCTCCCAGTGGTTCACTGACAATAAGAACCACTTCAAATTTTACTGAATGCCATACTACCCTACAGTCTGACAGCCAGAGTGTGTCTGTATGTGTACTAAAACACTCAAATGCTCACATTCATGCACAAGCCAAGTCGGGCCCTACATTTCCTCCCTGCACACTCTCTGTTGACCAGTAGCCAGTTGTCGTTTTAATTATTAGGGCAAGCAGCTGCCAGCCATAAGACACACAGTCACATCTTTCCTCCTCCTCACGCACTCCTCAGCTGACTTGAGTCTCATTTGGTATGACAGGGTAAAGCCCAATTCACGCATCTGTGTCAAATCACAGCATAGCTCCGGCAAAGTGTACATGTAGACGTGTACCCTACGCAGAACCCCATGCCGTACCCTGACTTGCACCTCTCCAAACATATAACTATGCATCGAGAGGTGACGCTGACCACAAGAGCTGCAATTGATTCTGTATGGTAGCATTGCATTTGCGACAGACAGTATTTCCGGAATCTCCTGCTTTGCCTCACCAGGTTTAATGGTCGTACAGACCATCTTCACCGACGTCTTTCTTTTCTTCTTGAAGAAAATGTAATTGCTCTTCATCAACTCCAACTCCAAAATAATAGCAATTGCCTTGTTCTGAAGTAAACACAGACTCCAGAGAGCTTGTAAATAAGTGGACCGGAAACAGGAAGAAACTCAACTCCAGCATACAATCTCTGCTATTGTTTTTGCTCCACGCCCACTAGTGTTTCAGTGGTGTCATTGCAGAGTGACCCACACACACCTACGCACAACTATGAATGATCCCAAAGGCATAGGCCCTGTGTGTTGTCTCTGTGCGTACCTACGGCGTAGCTCAGCACAGAACCATGAATTGGCTTAAGTGGGACATTTCACTGTGACAGAGCACACCTCAATCAACCATGCACATGTTAGCCTTTGCCCTTGAACAGAGAACTTTCCTCAGATCAGGAATGGGATTCATTCATTAGATATTTACTGCCTATGCACTGCAAGTACATGCAGTACAACAGAAAGTTAAACTTAATATAATTTCTCCATCTGCGTCTGTGGTTGCAGAAGCTGTAATGCCTTTGATAACAATGAATCCCTGTGTCAGCGAGTGTTGGAGCTTCACTGTTAATCAACTTGCATGGAAATAAGTGCAAAATAGCAAAAATGACAAACTGAAATATCTCTTACTGTACTTTGCTCTGTTGAAATACACTGTTATGCTTCTCAGCACTTCTCCTACTTACTGTGGTGAGCTTTCGTCTGGGACTTTGTGCGCATTTGATGCCTGGATCCAGGTTTGTATACGATGCTCAGAACAGTGTTGTGGGTCAGACGAGGGAAGTAGGACATGGGGACAGCTGGGAAGCTGTAGGCTGAAGATAGGAAGTATGGGACTCACATGTGCGTGACAGACACAGGGAATGCACAGGAGGATTGGTGTGTCACAGTCACCACACCTCGCTCCTGTGCTGCTCACACCTTCTGAGCTCTCATGTATGCCCTACATTCTGGTCACATGATCAGACTTCATACTGTGCATGTGATGCACACACAAACACACACACACACTCACATGTGCAGGTTATATTTTCTCTGTTACATTGATTTATGACTGTGCTCGAGAGTATTTTTAGACTGGAACTGGAGGAATTCATCGTTAGTGTGCGTGGGTGGTGTGTGTGTGTGTGTGTGTGTGTGTGTGTGTGTGTGAGGGAGGGAGGGAGAAACAGATGGAGCCTTCCATAGCCTCCGTTATTGTTCATCGATGAAGATGTGTGTGTTGCTTTGGATGAAGTGTTTCTGTGCATTTGTGCAACTGATGTGGGAGCTGTGCTTGGTATAGCCCACATGTCCTGTGCTGAGTCACACACACAGGCTGTTTATAAAAAGGTCAAACACAGGCACAATGTGGCAGGGAAGCCCTCTTGGCATCAGCTACTGGTTATGTGGTTGCAACTACATACTTCAGATTAACCACCACTACTAATAGATTCCACAAGCTCAACACTCGCATTTCCTGCCATGCACTTATCCAACGTGACTGATAGACACTGTGTGTGTTTCAGTTGCAAGACGTGCCATTTGGTCAACCCTCCAATTTTAAATCTTTGATGATAAATCTTTCTTCTATTTTCTGTCATGTGCAAAAATGAGCCATACGGATAAAACAATGGTACTAAGCAATATTTATTTTTTGCGTTGGTCCATTTCTTACACATGGCCTTGTTCACACGTTCAAAGAGAGTAATCCAATTCAGATATGCTTCAGAGAAAAGCTTCCACACAGAGCCCAGTGAGTTCAGAGGCTGAGTATGATGAGGAAACAAATGACATCTGTCATCCAGCTTAAACTTGCACTGAAAGCTTTGATAGAAACTGCTGTGGAAGAGCATTTAAAGGCACAGTGTGTACAATTTTGTGATATTGAGTGTTGAAGTTGCATGTTACAGGTGAACACCCCTCACCTCACCCTCTCCTTCCAAACATGAAAAAGAACCTATGGTAGACTTCAGTTGTCATAAAAACTCAAAAGGTGTTTAGTTTGTCCAGTCTGGACTAATGTAAAAAAATATGGCGGCCTCCGTAGAGAGGACATCCTCGATGTAAATATAAAGTATTTGAATATAAAGAACCTTTTCTGGGGTAAAGAAAACTACAATTCATACAATTTAGATGAAATGAACTAGTGACAACATCATGAGGATTATTCTACATTAAATTTCTGCCAATAGATCCCTGTCACCTAAATCTTACACACTGGACCTTTAAGGGATTTTAGGGACCCATGCAAAAAAGGGACCTTGGGGGGACCTGCACCAAACCAAAGAAAGAGCAGACCATGTATACAATAATAAAATAGTTAAGTTCAAGTGTAAACTCCCTCCCAAAAACAAATGTACAAAGTTTTTGATGATGGTTGCAGTCTCCTGTACATAGCCAATCAAAGAATATACTCAAGGGGCTGCCCTCTCAGCACGGGGCCCCAGATAATTGTTTATTTTGTCTAGCCTGTTGCAACACAGTTGCTGAGACGTTGGTTTCAGTGTTAACAAAGGCGTTATCTGATTCTAAATGTAGAAGAGAAACTGATTAAAGAAACAGCTGCAATCTATCTCTCTGGAACCAAAGTTAGGGCATAGCTAATTCCAAACAGCATGGCAATAACCATTTACAGAGTCAAACAAATTTGCACCAGTCAATAACAACAGCCTCTTTTATTTTGAATAAATTTAAACTTCAGTGATTTCCCTCCTTGGAAGAAAAAATGTGGAGAATAACATTTTCATAAGTTTGATGGCAGCCTTGTGATTTTTAACTATGTCTGTCTCCCAGATTGGGTTTTAGATTTAGGAGGTAGCGTGATACAAATTGCCACTTGCCTTCTCCCACTGGCAGACAGGTCTATATTAATACCATGATTTTTTCTGCTGCTTTTGTGCCTAGTGCCACTTTTATCCTGGCCCAAGGCTCTGTCCTGGGGCCTGTATATTCTTCTCCTCCTACATCTGTTTTTATTTTCCTCTGTCCAACTTTTCTTAGTGCTGAATGTGACATACTTTTTGTCTTTCTGCTTTAGCTTCATGCATGAAACTACTTTCTTTCCAGAGCCAGTGTCTAGGGATCTTTACCCTGTCAATTTTAATGTTCCTTCCAACAGTGCTTGCATGTCCCTGCATTCAACACCACTTTGTGTCTTTAATGTTAAACACACTGCATCACTTCCTGCCTTGACCTAATATACATACGTGTAATAGCTGCCATACATTCCTTTGCATGGCTTCTTCTTTTCCCTGCTACAGCATCATTCGCTCACTGACTTGCTTTGTATGGATGGGTTAAATCTACCCTCTCAACATCCTTTACTAAACATGTTTGCTTCTCACACATAGCTGCAGTTTCCACTTCTTTTATTTTGAAGGTTTGACCCAAGCCCCCAATTTTGTTCAATTTTACACCCACGCTCCTGCAGGAATAATGGCTGGAAGCTTTGTTCTAGCTGAAGCAAACTGATTGGCACCGGTGTCTTTACATAATCATGGCTCTGTCAACCTAAGTCACTAAGATAAATCTCACCATTCTGCCAAATCAAACAATGTGCTATGAAAACAAGGAGAATATAATAATAATTACAGAAAAGCTGGCTTATTTCTGACCCCAGAGTACTGCCATATGTTACAGTTACATTTCTTTTGGCAACCAATGACTTATAACCATAATGTACCTTGAATAACAACATATTTGACTACGTGGGTTATCTTACATTCTATCCTTCCACCCACAGCTGCCATTTGTTTTTGTGGATATTACTTTCACTTTAATTGTGTGAGTTATAAATTCATATCTGTAATGAGGTCCCAGAATCATCTAGGTTTCTGAGTTAAATGACTGTAGGGATGGAGTGGACAACATTACACCACGTTCGGCTCATGCATCTAATGAAATCTGCACTGCCCGGCTTAACAGGCTACTGGCCACTACTAATGAATAGAATTATAGAATGTGAAAATAAAACCTGAGGCTTCCGTGCTATTATTTACTCTAAAACTAAAACGGTCGCCTTGGGAAATGTTTGACTGTCTCCTTGGCGTAATGTGAGGTGGCTGCTTCTGTGTTAAAGCTTTGAGCAAGAACAAATCTGGGCCTTGGGTCCTAATCCCTGCTGCTAGCAGAAGAGCTGTCTCCAAATATTGAATATATTAAGCTTTGTACTCGCAACAACTCTGCCCCTAAAGGCTTTCTGTCGCTCTCTCTGTCTTTTCTGTGTGGAGTGAGTGAATGGTAATAATTACTCCAGCCATGTGTAAGCCGAGAGTCTGCATTAATGGGGCAGGATCTGTACTTTTCCGAAGAAGACGAAACCAGATGAGATGATAGAAAAGCCTTTAGTGTGATGTTTGTGAAAGGTCAGGTTGATCATTTTAGACTAAATGCTGTGATCCGAGTTCATGTGCAGTATAAATGTGAGGGAATTTTAGAGAGAGTGAGAACAATTTTAATTTGATACGCAACAGATGCAAAAATGAAGAGAACAAAAAGAAAGCTAATATCTCCTGGTGAAAAAGCACTGACACACATGTGGAAGACGCAGATGAAGGAGTTTGTGGTGATAAGAGCCGACGACGGGTGCTGATCACGTATGCAGCAGAGTTAATATATCACTTACACCTCACAGCTGTATAACGCGGTGGATTTGTTGCTGCTGTGAACACGTCTGTGCAAAAAACCTTTCCCTGTGTTGTGCATGTGAGAAAGGCAAGACTTTCTTTAACTCTGGAGGCAATTGTCTGGCTCTTATTTCTATGGTGTCCCAAAATGGACAAACCAAACACTATTTCTAGAGAGGGCTTTTTGTGTTTTTATGTCACCTGAGGGCCACCTCATAGATTCACCCTACTCACCTGGAAGGGGAGGGTGAGGTGAGGTGTACTCGCAATCTGCACCCACACTGCACCGTTCTATCTATCGTGTTGTTTTATGACACTTTATGACACTGAAAACCAGCTATTATCACGTATATCTGTGTGTGTGTGTGTGTGTGTCTGAGAACTGCAAACACACAGTTAAGGGATGAAATCCACCGCTTAGAGTCAGATCTCTTGCTGCTACCCAGGAAAGAACATTCCTGCCATTTCCCCATATATGTCACCGTTGGTCTCTCATCTGCAGCCTCGATCAATCCCATTAAAAATGTCACGAGGTGAAGATGTCAGTCTCCTGCTCTTTCTCCTGGTAATCCACTCACCATATTCTGTGATTGCTCTCCCAGGGCCAGACCAACCACCTCCGAGATGTCGTAGATGGTCTCAAATTCTGAGGCCACACACACTCCCCTGGCTGGCCTCGACATACACTGACACTGCAGGTCAGCCCGAAGGGTTTAGCAGCGGAGGAGAGTGAGCTGGAGCCAGGGGTGGCAGGCTCTGTTGCTCCGTTGGCTCTACCACAAATCCAGTCTAAGCTTTTTAGACAGAATCTGACTGTCTGCTCTGCTCATTTCAGCCCTGACTGACCATCATCATTTGAGTTTCACCAAGCTACAAAAGTAGTAACCTGTATTGTCCTGGTTGTTTATCACTCAGACATCAATCATTCAAAGCCTCTGATTGGCTGGCTGACCTGTCTCCACAAAGAAGCATAAGGATGCAAAACTTCAAATATGTGAAGTGTGAAACATGGGACTTCAAACAAGGTTTTTAACCTAAATCGTTATCTTTTATAGCAAAATAAGCAGTTGAACACAGGTATTTTAACTGAAACTGATTGGTAAATACTGATTGTATCCATTCCTCATTGTAGACAAAAGCCAAATGTTAGTGGGTGACAGTGGGTGTTTTAACCAATAGAAAAGGGGTTATAGGGATTTTAAGTGGGATTTTAAGTGTTTGTCGCTTATTAATCTTAGGGCACATAAACTTGTCTTTTTGGCACTTCAGAGTGCTGCAGCACTCAGTTTGGGAAACACTGCAATGTACAGTCTAGTTTGAACCACAAGTGTTTGGAGACATTCGCTCCAACCATCATTACATTACTGGAGGTGTGAAATCATCATATTCTCTACCCTGTCAGCCTCCATCTTTGCATGAATATGTTTTGACACACGTGTTAATTGTGTCATTTTAGTGGATAAATGTGTGAAGTAAAGTAGAAAGGCAGTCTCACAGGGCAGCAGTGAGTGAATGACTGTAAGGACACGCTGTCATACTAGTGCTGCACTCTTAGTCACGGCCGGGGGGAGGCTACAAAATCTCAGAAAAAGCATTGGCAGGGACTGTGGTTAAGGTTATGGTCCCTTTAGTTCTGAATTATCTCTTTCCCAGTGGAGGAGGAAAAAAATCAGCCAGCAGTCTCATTCCTGTGGGCAATGAGCTATGTTTCCTTTTGTATTATTTCCCAATGAAAAGCCTCCAGTTTTATCAATAGCAAGTGTAAGAAATACACTGCATGTGTGTCTGGAATTTTTCAGCAGAGTGGAGCGAGTGAGGCACAGGGACACTATGGAGCGAGGGCACGTATGCCACAGTTTTGAAAGAGTCAGTGGAGAAGAAGAAAAGCACAAGGGAGACAGCGTAAAGGCCAGAAATAGAAAAAAATCCCCATGCAGGTTTGTAACTATAACACACTCATGTGCTCCTGATGAGAAAAATAAGGAAATGCAACAGAAGTGATTATGTGAGTCTTTGTCATCAATGTCTTCAACAGCAGCAGCAGATGTAGGAGGGATGATGGTCGAGGAGAGGGAAAGACAGCAAACGCAAAAAGGCCAAAAGAAATAGGAACAAGGAGACCAACAAAATGTTCTCTATTGACCAAGAGAGGAAATTAAAATCTGACCGACTTTCAGTCTAGACTTTCAATCTTGACTTTCAATCTGTGTGACGAGAGAAACTGCCCTGAGGCAATTTTTAGTATGTTGTAAGAAAAAAGTGCTGTTCTTAGCTGAATTACATAATTTAATTTATTAGATAAAGGGCACTGTGCAGTGTCTAAAATATGAATGTGCTGTGTTATCTTTTAGTGTATTGAAGTTTTTAATAATTCTAAATGTTTTATTTTTTATTGACTTGAAGTAAAGCTTTGGAGGAAGCTATGTGAACTGTGCTTGAAAGAGATTTTCTCACACACTCTTTTTCAATGACTTTATTGATCGTTTAACCAAATATACCATCAGATATATTACACAGGCCGAAGCGTGACACACAGAACCACAGTAGACGGGCCTCAGACCATCCACTGATACACAGAAACCAAGTCAGCTTTTTTTCTTAAAAGTAAGAAAATAAGTAAGGCCTCCACAATGTCAATTATTTCTTTTAACATGTTATGAACACATTGATCCTTTATTTTTTTATTTTCTTTGCCAGTGGTTTGATAAATTAGCCATAGCTTTGAAATAAAAGAAAAAAAAACTCAACACAGACGACTACTTGGTAACGTGTCCTCAGGTCAACAGATGATGACAACCACTGTCAGTACAAACAGAATGGAGCCTGTATTTAAGGGCCATACCACAAACAAACAAAAAGAAACGTATTACAAGTGCTTGGATCAGTACTTTTTTAGACACCCAACATTTACAGTCAAGAAATGTGAGTCCAACTTAACGCATACCCTAATATATAACTACTGGAATTGGCAATGTGTTGTGTCTTCTCTCGATCCACCCACACTCGCTGGATGATGTGCCAGAGAATGTCCTTCTTCTAAACAGATAACACCCCACATCCTCAGGCCTGGATTCTCCCGGTCCAGCGTTCTCCGAGGGACAAGTTAACCTCTGGTAACAATCCAGTTTTTTGTTTTGTTCCCTTGCAAACTCCTGGCAAAGTCTCAGCTGTCCATTCAGATTGTGAGATATCCGTAGCGCTACAGCACTATTCTAGGCTTCTCCCACACAGCAAGCTTATGGTGTTCGACCAGTCTAAAGCTCTGCCTTCCACATTCCTTAGTCAGTGCTTGGAGTGCCGCTACAGCAGGCTTCCTGGCCAGGAGACGATGGTCAGGGTGATTCTGCCCCGCAGCTCCTTCAGAAGGCGCACCAACGCTGTGTGGGTCATCCCCCACGTACTCTTCCCGTTCACCTCGAGTAAGATGTCCCCACACCTACACAGAGAAAGATCCCCATTGAAACAATGAGCTTCATTTAGGGTTATGTAAATGTTCACAGATCCCCTAAAGACATAAACTGCTCTCAGACATGCACTGAACTCCATATAATCTAGTGAAACTATCTGGAGAGGCTGATGTGAGAACAAAAATGTCTGAGTCAGTTGCAGTGGACATTCTCAGGATCTTGTCCTGTAATCCCCCAAATAAAAACAGTGGATAAAATCCAAATTAGCCCAGGGGCCGATGGTGGTGTTGGTATAAATGAAAACACATGAAAACACATGATCCTGCCTCCTGCATGCTGCACCCTCTCTGTAAGAAATAATGCACTAAAATACTATATTATTTTATCATTCCATTTTTTGAAGCTGGTCTATAGTGTTGCTCATGGGAAATAAGAAGTGATAAAGGCTGAATACCTTATCCTGCCATCATTGTAGGCTGGCGTCCCCTCCACGATGGAGCGGATAAAAAAGGATTGATTGCAGTTGACCTCCTCCTGACCTCCAACGATACTAAAGCCCAGGCTGCCCGAAGTGCTCCGCCGCAGGATGATGTCTTTGCAGCAGTAGAGATGCCTGCATGAGCCAAGAGGGAGCTTTAAAACACTAATCTCTCAACTTCACCTTTAACGTATATATACAGTACACATATATATACACACACTTTGTATCCATGCTGAGTGTGAATTGTAGCTAGGTTGATGAAACCAGATAAAGACCTGGTAGCTCTTTGAATGAAGGTGAGGCTTTTCCTCTCAGAAGACGTGATCCAATGATGGGACTTCTATGTCAGTCTCAGACAAAGAGCACAGGGCTGAATGAAAATTTAATTCAAATCCTTTTAGTTGCTCCACTGGTCTAGACCACGTTCCCATGGAGGTTTCGTACTTAGTTATGACTCATAATCAATTTGAGGATGGAGTTCGAGGATGATCACATTTTTATTTCACTTATAAATGTGGGGAGGATAAATTCATATACTAAAATCCAAGTGAAAGTTCTGAAAGAAAGTTGAACTGATATAAGAGCAGTGCAAGTATAATGAGTATTCTCTCCCAGCTGGCTCTGTCAAAATGTTACTCAGCACCAGCTGGCAAAGGTCAGAGGAACCAGTGTGGGGGTGTCAATTATACTGGGCACAGAACAAATAGGAGAGAAGGCAGAAAAATGAATATGGAGTGGATTCAGGAATGCTCACCTGGGGAGCTGCAGCCATGACACCCACAGTGGGGAGTAATCGTCATTGGGAAGCAGACTCTTGGTGCTATCTGTGGGTGAGGGTGTGAGGCAGGGCGGCAACGCGCACTCCTGCAGGCTTTCCTCGGGAGGACGCATCTCTAAGACCTTGAGCACGACAGGAGAGGAGGTGTTTTTCAAGTTGGCCACGGCCTCGCCTCGCGTCACCCCCGTCAAATCCATGCCGTTCACGTTTAGCAAGATGTCTCCTGCGGGGTGAGGAAGAGGACAGCACAGCTCATCATCCACCCAAGTTGGCTGCCTTGATAATCGGGTTTTTAAAAAACCTCACAGGACAGGGACTCATCATCTGCCTATTTAATATACAACAGCTTCCCTGCTGGAACACAAAAGGGATGGAAACGAAGCGCCACCTGTGCATTAAAAAGGCTCTCAGTGATGAAAGTGGTGCATGAAAAACAGACGACTCACTCCAACACGCTAATCGAAGGACACGTTTACTCTGCATGGTTGTGCAAATGCAAAATAATAGTCTATTATAATACACAACCATGTTTCATAACTACACAGAGACAGCCACTGCAGCTGGGCGGGGGGGTAATGAGAAGCTTAATATGGTGATATTTTAAGACGGATATGTTGGAGTTACATGGAAAATGCATTATCTGATACCAAGATTGCTGCAATCACATCCAGTTATGTGTGATTTTGCTCCGATCATGTACCAAACACAAATACACAGTCGGCCCTCAGCACTGTGATGCTAATGTTTGTTTGTGTTTTTTATTTAGGCGCGTTAGAGCCAATTTGTTGAGCACTGAACCGCAGCAGCACCACAGAGTTTTCTGCTGGATGAATAACCTTCATAATGAAACACGGGTCAAGAGTGTTCATCAATCACCATTTCTGTTATATACACAGTGTTCATCACCAAATTCAAATACTTGACATCCCTGTGTAATGTGACAATCAAATACTATGTTCACCAGTGAGCAATTGTTTAATTGTTTAAAATGTCTAATTTTCACTGAATAAAATATTTCTTATAGTCAAAAATATGAGTCTGATCATTCTAGGGTTAAGTGTACAGGCGATAAATAAAATGAAACAAGACATTCCTTAGTGATTCACTTTACCTTTTCGAATGGAGCCCTCCTGTCCCACGACTCCATCCGAGTCCACATTCGTGACGTAGATGGGGAGGTCCCACCCTCGGCTGGACATGCCCCCTGCCACCGTCATACCCAGGGAGTCGTACGGTTCCTTAGTCAGAGTAACTGTCTTCTCGTAGCACGCAGGCTTCTGGCAAGAGTCCTTCACAGAGGAAATGTGGCAAATTAATAATGGCTGTTATCTCCAATTTTGTAAGGCCTTGACCTTTCTCTGTAAAGTACATTGAAGTAATGGACATTATGATTTGATAGTATATGAATAACACTGAACTCAAATGCTGAATTTCAAAAGCGACAGGGCTGTTTTTCCTTATGTCCCAATCTTACGCTTTATGGTCCCAACCTTTTGGTAAATGTTCATCTTTCAAGTATTCATATTCACTTAAACACTACTTCAAGACCAAAACCTGACATGAACTCAACTGTTACACCAAGGTCACCTTCAGACTATATAAACTGATTAGATTTTACAGCAGCACATTTGCATATTAATAAGGACTGTTTTCTCTGGGGCCTGTGATAGCCCCTTATTGTTTGGACAATTCGTATGAAAACCACCTGTGATGTGCTATTGGGAGTCCAATGACTCGTAGTTGCTAATTAATGAATGACCTCATTAGCATAAATGGTAATGTATATATGGCGGTTATGAGAGTGGAACCTCAGGCAGCTCAAGAGCCTTTTCATAATGTGTTTGATATAGAGAAACCGATTAATTCATAGACGTCATGATGTGCAATTTGATTTGGTGAAGGCGTTTGATATTCCGGGTGAGTGTGTGTCAGATGGGGGACGGCGAGGGAGCGTAATGAAAAACACACGGACACATTGAGGTTGATGGGATGTAGTGTGTGCTGCTTTGTCAATGTGCTGCATTCACACATTTCTGCTGCGCTCACAGGAGGAGAGCACTTGTGGTCACATGGTTCTGAGTATGGTGTCGCAACGCAAACACCATCCACACGTAACTGCCTTCCAATGCAATGTGAAGTAGGTTGTAGTGTACTGTGTATTTAATATGTAATGGGGACTTTGATGGTGACAGACTCATCATATATAACATTTTTCTCCAGCAAAGTCAGAGGTAACCAACCTTAGTAGTGGCTACATTAAAAGGAGTCGTTTGACATGTACATTTGTGTCAGCATTGAGGCGGTAGAGAGTAACAGTATCTGTCTTTCCAGCTCCAGTAAAACTTAGAAATTGCAGTGACACATTATATCTCATTTGTTTAAACATAAATAAGCCAAAGGTTATACCACAAGGTGTTATGTAAGCTGTTTTCAGACATGCACTGAGGGACTGTATGTGCAAATGTCTGAACTTTCCCAGTAAGACCCCTTGAGCAACTATGTGAGAATACAGCAAGTGAGTAAGTGTGTTAAGGACTTTCTAACTTGTGACAGACGCAAAACAGATTAAAAAACACCCCAAAAGAATACAAGCATGAAAAAGAAGTGCTATACATGTATAAGACACTGATGAAGATGTTAACTTGGAAAGATGATGAGATTTGAGAGCTTTCATTAGAAGGGCAGATGCAAGAGTTGATGTAGTGTAAACAAGAATGGGACTTCGCAGCAGAAGTTATATCCTGCCTCCTGCATGCTTTACCCAGACACCACCCCTCACCTGAATGTTAGGGACAAACATCTGTTTGGACCCAATGTTCGGAAGGTTTAGAGATGCATTTTTTATTTTTTGACGCAGCAATATGAGCTGAATCTGGTTACGTGCTGTGGCATCATTTTAACACATCAGTTGTGAGAGCAGTATTAATCAATCAAAGAGATTTAGCCTGTTTGTCACTTTATTGCAGTATGTGCAGCATGTAGTGTTTTGACTAGAGATACACTAATGTAGTAATGTAGAGAAACTGACTTCACTGGCTGGAGAAAAGCTTTTGCTGCAGGATGGCAGATGATACTCTTAATCCTGCAGGGTGACGGGATGTTCTTTCTTTGTGGTGAAAGAAAGATGGCTGATACGAATGCAACAGCTCTGTGCGAGGCGAAGACTGTCTGCTGTACTGCCTGAATGACATGCTTTGATGGGAGAATAATAGTCTACCTCCATGGATCATTTGCACCTAAAAGGGAATTTTTATCAGGAGAAGGGGAGACGGTGGAACAAAGCTTTTCTCTGTGAATCTGTATGTGCTGCTCACCAGTAGTGTTTGCTCAATATCCACAGGGGAATATGGTGGGGGACCATCCATGCCCCACGGAGCTTCTTGTAAGATGTCTGGTGTTGGTAGGCAGATCTGACGGGACACTATGAAGTGGACACCCTCCTCGCTTGCCTAGAGACCATTCAGAGACAACAGAGATCAGACATTAGTTCCAAATGATACTGAGAGAACAAGCATTCTTTCAAGATCACCACTCTTCTGTCTGCCTGGTATTTAAGGATACATCATTTCCAGTCTTAATATTAAGCTATGCATACTAGATAATGGTTAAAGTCATAGTGAACAAAGTCTCAGAAAGCAAATGAGCAAATTTCCCAGAAATATTTAACAGTTCCTTGATAAGTGGTCATCGCAGCATTACAGATAAAACGTTATTCGTGTATATCACTAAACAGAAAGACTCAGAGTGAAAGTATGGTTTTTTTCAGTTTGGGTGACTCATCCCTTCAATAACCGATTTGCTGGAAAATTCAAATTCACTGCCACCGAATAGCAACCTATTTTGCAATTCAAAGACCCACCAGTGAACTTGCCAGTCCCACTTTCATTCACACATTTAAATGAAAGTGCTCCAGTAGACCCACTTACGAGCTGGCTGCCTGCCCCCCCTCCCCTCACTCATTCCTCCGAGGTTTCCCCTGGTCTCTGCTGCACAGAGCTGACTCCTGAATTAGCCAGCTACAGCCCATTATTGCCTTAGTTGGACTAATTTAATTTCTTCCCTGCCAGTTCTTAATCTCTGACAGAGCATGCCTTCTCTGAGAGGCCATCTTGGCTCCTCAGAGATCCACAAGAGCCAGTCAGACTGCTCAGACAGGAACTGCGGGCCCAGAGACCCAGCACAGTCGGCCACAAACATTCTGCAATTAACTATGATTAGCAACAGACACACCACCATTGACTGGTATCAACCAGGAACCAGAGGCAGCTGCATGGCCCGGTCCATCAGGGAATCACCACAATTAAATACCATTAACTGCAGTGAGTGCAGACACAACAGCACAGTACAACACAATTAGCCTGAATCACCACAATTATCTTTAATACCTCAGAGACCCTGGGTAAGAACAGAGCCCAATGTTGTTTGCAGTCTGTAACAACTAATTTGAGTGTCACAACTATGAACTTTCTACAAAATGCTCAGACCTGCTGTCGAAGTTAAATCGATTCATTTAAAGGAAGACAGACTTTCCCTTGACCTTTGCTGACTGACCTGAATAAGCAGAGCAGCATGTTCTGGTGCTCCATAACGTAGATCGTGCCCGTTGATGGCCAGCACACGGTCACCAACACACAACTGTCCGTCACGAGCTGCCAGGCCGCCCTCCAGCAGGTGAAATATGAAAACTCCATGCTCATCTGGCCGCCTCACTAGCTTAATGCCCAGCTGCTCCTCTGGACTGCTTTTATTCAGGACCACATGGATGCTGTCATCCCTCAGGGGATGGTGGGGTAGGCCGTGAGATGGGTGACCCCCAGCGGCATCATGGCCGTGGCCATGGCCATGCAGGTGGCCATGTGAGTGTGAGCGGTAGCGATGGCGCTGCTCTCTGAGCACGGTTAGCCGGAGGAGTTGGCACGGCTGTTTGAGGGTCGTCACAGCGTAGCAGTGGGGTACATTGCTGATGTCGATGCCATTTACCTGAGACAGAAGTAAATTCATTATATTGATTCCTTCTTATTGACATGGGATACAACTGTAATCATCTCTGCCAAGGCGGTTGTGTTTTCATTGGTGTTTGTTTTGTTTTTATTTTGTATTTATTAACGGTATTACTCAGGAATTAGTGAACCAAGGATGAACCCATAAAATTTTGGAGCCGATCCAGATAAACGGGCAGATCCAAACAGAAATATCTCTGATCCAAACAAAAATCTGAATCTTGTGAATTTAAATATATATTCATGAGGGCGCTGTTAGGCCATTGTGGAAGAATGCGCTCTATTGAGTACCATTCTAGTTGTTTTGGTAATACCTTCAGGATCATGTCCCCAGGCAGCAAACGTCCATCCCGGGCAATGACACCTTCTCTGTAGATATCCTGGATGAGGATGCGAACCAAGGGGGTCTCATTGCCCCCAACAATGCTGATAGCCAGCGGATCTGAGGGATCTATCCGCGTGATCTTAATACTGGTAAGTTCTCCATCAGGGATCAGGTGATGGAGCTGAGGAAGAGCCAACACTAAAAAAGAAGATGAGAGAAGGAAAAGGATGATCATATTCTCACCGCATAATGACAAGAAAAACTACATTTGAAGAACAGCCAAATAAAACAGGAGAGGAGAGGAAGTGGGAGATGAAGTGAGTGTTGCAGAGTGAGAGAGAGACACATGGAGGAAGAGAAACTGAGAGGATCAGCGGTGGAACCAGCTGTCCCTACTCCCTCAGGTTAGTAAAATAAACTTGTACAAGCCAAAAGGGAAAATTTACTTGGCTGATTATACCGGTTGATGTTTTAGTGATTAGTCATATACATCTGTAGCAAGTATGCTTGGGAAAACCCGCAATTTCATATTTCCAAAGTTATTACTTGGGTGGGGATGTTTTTCTTGTGACAATATATCTACCCAAGGTTTTTAATTGCTGTCACAGCATGATATCAAAAACAAAAGCTGCTAATATTGGTTTTCAATTCAACACTATCAAGACACCGGAATTTGCCTTAACAATCAATACAGGATTTAATACGAAAATATTTCTCTAATATACGGTCAGTATTTTATCCCAACATTTCTGAGAAACATTTACTTTTCTGCCAGTTCTGTCAACTTCTCTGGTGCACGCTCCTCCGTCACGCTCAGTGGTAAATTCAGCTTACCAGTAGAATGACACATCCTGGACTGGCCTATATGGAAGTGGGTGGGATTCTTTCCGACAGTTTTGGCCCTCGGCCTTGGCTAATAAATTACTGAGAAGATGTATCTCTTGCATTTCTTTTTCTTTGGTTATGAGAAATGTCTCCCTCTCCCTGTTCCTCAGTGGGCTCTCTCCCCCTGAGTCTCTCGCTCCATAGCCTCAGTCGTTCTTTCTACTCACGCTGCACTTTCTCCATTCCAAAGTCAATATTTTGTCTTTATCACAGCAGATTGCTCCAAGGGTGGAGAGCACATTTACACAGAGATCTGCAGCTATTATGTAACCCCTCCATCTCTCCATCCCACACCCTTTTCACCTCTGTCTCATCCTGTCATTTCTCTTTATTGTCATGCCCTCCTTAGGACATTGCTATGCCATAATTTCTTCCCTCAATTATTTTTTATGTATCTGCTCTTCCCTCCATTTTTCCTGTATGGATCAGTCCACACATTGAAGACCATTTAATATTGCAGCTGATCAGAGCTCACTCTCCATCCTCTGCCTATCTTGGTGTCTTTGGGAGCAGGCAACACAATGAATATTTAATCTATCCTCTCAGCCTCCACAGTGATGGCCACAGAGAATAATCTAGTCCCTGATCGTTCGTCATCCTTCATTCTTACGCAATACCACATTCCTTCTCCTCTTCTCATCATGCTGCACTTCTACTTCCAACATTAAGCTCTTGGATACTTGGCTGTATTCCCGACTCTACTTTACCATACCATGAGGGTCATACTGTGGATATTACATTAAATATCTCTAGAGCACATTTTTTCTTCCACACAACATCTAACATGTCAAGAACACGGCTCTCTCCGCTACCACTCCCCCTCCTGATCCGTCTCTAGTGATGCACCAGTGGCATTACGCAATCTGCCACTGAATTATTAAAGAAACATATGCTACTGTTACGCTGTGGGCTCCCAGCTGTGTCACCATCCTTGTACAGCCAAGCATTGGACATACACACATTTGGGAGCGCGCACTCAAGTGCAGACTCAGCAGTGACATCACTCAATCAAGAAACATCACAAAAAAGTAAGAGATAGATGTATAGAGCTTGATCCATACCTTCCTGTGGAATTCCAGTGGAATTCCTGGTATTGTCTCTCTCCTCAGACGTCTCATTGCTCACTGCGTTGCCACTCTTGGTCCTCCGCAGGACACTGAATGCCCGGTTCAACCTCCTGAAGGAACGGCTCCTCACAGAAGATCGGTCAAAATTTCTGACTGCAATGGAGACATGGGAGAGAGAGAGAGGCATTTTATAGGTTACCTCACCCTCAACATGCCCGGACATGTCTGGATCTGCCTCCTTGCAGCCAGTGACATGCCTATTCAGGCTTTAGAGAACATTAAGAGTGAAAAGCACAACTGTAGGGAAAAACCTCAAAAGATTTGTTCAGGTAAGAAGAATAAATACGTGTATGATCCCATTGGAATAATATAACCATGAGTTTTAAGGTTTACTTGATGCCAGACATTGTAGTTTTAAATACTTTGAAATTTCAAAACTTTGGTCAGTTTTCAGCTGTCTGTTGATGTATGAATATGAAGCCATGTTTTTACAAGTGGGTGCCAGTTTAATACCCTTCTCCTGATAGGCAGTTGGTGGTGTGATATATAGCAATGCACCCAATAATAAAACTTAGTAAGTAAATATCAACTGGGCTATAACTCAAGTGACATTAATTTGTATTACCTAAACTCAGCATATTTATCAATACAAAGTACCAATCCATCCATCCATGAATCCAGTGTTTATAATGACCTTTAAGGGTCACAGGGTGGCTGGAGCCGATAATGATAACACATAAGGAACATGACTCATTAACCTGAATAAATGTAACTGAAAAAGCTGAGATATTTAAAATGTTTTCCCCTGGGGGGGTGTTTGAAGTAATGAAAAGGGAAAGAGAAGTATAGCAATAGATGGCAGTAATACACTTTGACATTGGTTGCCACCTGCCAATAAACCGCACAAAGAAGAAGTTGAAGTAGAAGCTATGATATTCAGAAAGACAGAACTAAAGAACTTGAACTGTATGAAAAGAAAAGTTTTGAAAGATAAAAGTGGAGCCTCCTTCAGCTTTTTCTTGTCTGAAAGTCCTTTTGTGTCTTTTCCTGGAGCCCTTTGTAGCAGGATCTGATGTGTCATCACAATGGTCTCACTGAAACGAAGGAGGGGTTTTTGGCCTCCACTCAGCCTTTTTTTCAGAGGTTTATTTGTTGAGCAACTTTCAACAAGACCAAACAGAGCATCCTCTTTGTGGATAGTGGAGCTGCTTTCAGCCAGTGGCTGTTTAATTAATAAATCCAATCTTTGCTGAGTATAGTTACATGGTTGCGTAACCACAGCAGTGATGTAACAAGACGTCGACTCTAATGACCATGTCCGAAAAAGACCCTCCCAGAGAGATTCTCGTCTGCTACTTTGCTTTTCGCAGAAAAAGACAGACGGGCAACAGGAGGCTGCAGTGGAGAGGCCCTGCTGCACTGAGCACAGGGCAGCAAGCCTCTGCAGCACCCCTCCCTCTCTCTGTGGGCTCGGGGAGATGCAAGGGCTCCTGACAGCCACATTACTCTTTAAAAGCCCCAGCCGCTTCTGGAGCTGACAGCTTGTTCAGCAGTAGTGCTGCTCGTGGTGGTGGTGGTGGTGGGCACCCGGCCGGCCCAGCCTAAAGTGCTGGTGCAGCGTCATTTGGTGTCCCCACTGCTCATGTTAGGGGCTGGAGGGAGCGATGGAGGGCCAGCGTAAGACACCCGTGACTGTTTCCTGGTTTCACAGGTGGGAGAGATGGAGGGAAAGCTTCGACCACATCATTCGGTATTAACATATCTCTCCTTCCTTTTTTTTTCTTGAGTACATAATGTACCTGCCCTCTCTGTGACTTTCTCTCTCTCTGCTTCTCTTGTGTTTTCTACAGAGAGATTTTATGGATTGGTGGAAAAAACAAGGCAGTAGAGCTAATTGGCTGATAGGATTTCTATCACAGATCATTAGGGAAAACAAAGACTGTGTTCGAGGGTGAACGAGTGGCTCGGCTGTATGTCGTGAGTCTACAGGTGTAAATATATGTTAGACATAGATTACTTGTATCAGGTTTTGACCGGGAGACTATGTAACTGTGACTAGAAAGCTCTACTCTCTCTATTGATTTTCAATCTGTCATTCTGGCTTAACACACACTCCCTCTAGCTGTCTCCCTCTCTCTCCCTCACTCGACAGATAACTTCAGGGTAACATCATGCAAGACTGAACATGACCACACACACACACACACACACACACACACACACACAGTACAAACATCCATTCGCCCACTCACACTCACTCTTCTTGGAGCTGCTGCGGGCGGCCAGGCTGGTCGTGCTGCCTGACTGGCTGTTTTCCTCCATGCTGGGGTCGAAGGCAGGGTTGACCAGACCCGGGTCATCAGACAGGAGGGCCACGGCGGCAGAGGTGGGGCCGTCGCTGGGCAGCGTGGCGATGGTGAGCTCCGATGTGCTGTCGGTGCATTCGCCCTCCTGCGAGCGCCGCTTCCTGTCTGCTGAGAGCCCATAGTGAGAGGCCCCTTTACACCTGCACACAGAGGTCAGAAGGTCACTCTCAAACTCATATTACACAGTTGGCATGGTGCACTTAATACCAGACATGTTAATGAAATGGTGACGTTGATGATTTGACATAGCATGCTGACATCCTGTAATGAACGACATGTCGAAGCAGCAAAAACCAAAAAACAGCACCGCTTATCACAGTAGAGTCAAAGTCAACAAATTCATGTTAACATCGAAGGAAAAGGTCATGTTCTTAAGAACTAATGTGAGCCGATTTCTGCATCTCCTCCAGCCCGAGGCTTTTTGCACACTGACCTCTGTCTTCTACTGAGACTGCCTCACACAAAGGCTGCTTATCTGACCTTAACACTCACACAGAACCTCTCCACGATACCACGCAGCCGCAACAGCAAATGTTGGGGTAATATGTTTCCCAACGCTCACACTTAGAAATCCACTCACAGTAGCTCGCTAAGAATGTACCAGGAATGTCATATTTACTCTCAAAAAGAAAAAGTGTCCGTTTCTGTTGCTTGAGCACCTTCTTTGTAAAACAATGCCTGCATCACATTTAGGATGGGCTTTCTCTGCGGCTTAGCCTGTGAGCATACACGACAGATGATTGAACACAAATGTAAGAAAACACTCATTACAGGGCGGAGAGGTTTGGAAACCGTCACAACATTTGAATATAAAACTGAGATCGTCTGAATCAAATTCCCAAGTTGCAGGTGTCTTCTTGCTGTCAACATCCCCACAACACATTGACAAGGTCTCTCTCTTCTTCTCTCTCTCCCCCGTATTATGCTACATGCCATAAAAGGCTTTTTCATACTGACAAAATTAAATTGTGAATGTTTCTTTGTGAATTAAAGATATCCCTAAAGAGCAGGGAGTTGTATTGTTGGAGAATTTTTTTCTCCATATGTAAGCCATAAAGGCTTTGAGCTGACGCTTCATCAGAGGCAGGAATAACACTGGCTTGTCTCTCCGGCTGTCTCTGCGGGGCCATCAGCACAAACATTAACTGGGTTTTAATGAGCTGGATCAAACCCAGGCTCTGCTTCAACAGTAGCCCAGAAAAACAAGAGGGAGCAGCATCCATTCTCCAGTGCTGGAAGATGGAAGATGGGCTGGGTACCATGGACTCTTATATAAATGGATGTTAGGTGAAAAAGGAGGGGAGGTTAAGTAACAGCAAGGTTAAAACGGTGGCCATAATTACTGAGCCACAAAAGAAACAAGATTACAAGCTGGTGAGAGTCAGTGAGCATCACACATCATCACATGACAAGAAGCAGCCTCTTCAAAAACAGAGCTGTCTTGGTGGGTTGTACATTCTATCCATATATTTCACAGGGAAAATCTTCTCATCCTGAACTATGCTTTATATCTGTACCCATTGATCCCAGCTCTGTAACATAACACTGCAATACAGTGCATGTGTCTCTGCATGTGTGTGCATGTCTGTGTATCTGTGTGCGGGCAGTGCCCTTCTGAGTTATTCTTGTCCATCGATTCAGTTAGCAAATTGAATGCTATCAAGCATGTCCATGCACCAACACACCACTTAACTGAGTGAAGTGGTTGAATAGAGCAATATTTCAATCATCAGCAGAGGCGAGGGCAGAGCTGCAGTGTGGAAGGGGCAGAATCTTTCCTCGTGTCAGTCAGCATCAATTAGAGGAATTGAAGCTGAATGCAGCATGAAGGCTGGTGCCCACACAACTGTCTTCAAGTGGCTGCAGAGACTATTAGCGGGAAAGAAGAGTGACACCCCAAACAGATACATGTGCACACACACAAGTTTGCTAAGCTGTCTTTATCAGGACTCCGCACAGACTTCCATTCATTGGGGACCGCATAACCAAAACCTTATTCCTAACCTTAACCATGACCAATTAATGCTTAACCTTAACCTAACCACCATTCACATCAATACCCTGACCTTAACCAAAGGCTCAGAAATGGTGTTTTACCTCATTAGGACTTAGCTTTGGTCCCCGTAAGGTCTACTGGTCCTGACGAGGTCAGTGTTTATACAGGAAAAGGTACTAAACAGGAAACAAAAAGACCAAGCCTAGACCCTCAAACAGCTCTTTGAAGGTGTCTCAGAAGGTGAGGACGGCCAAATTGTCCTTACTTTCCCATAAATGTCCTCACTAGGTAAAGTCAACAAAATGGTCCTCAAAAAGATATCTGCACCCGGATACGAGTACAGACACAAATACACACACCTTATGACTTCAGAGGAAGTGACATGACAACGGGTGTGGATTGGTGTGGCTGTGGATCAGGAAATACAGCGGGGAAAAGAAATTGGCCACAATGTGACTGTATATGAAACTGATGGTCCCCACAACTTCAGTTATAC